TAGACAACAAGGTGATATGACGTTGAAAATTGTTATCAATCAGTTAGGATCCGAGCAGACCATTGACTATAAGATGGGTGAGGATAATATTCTGAGATTTAGAGGAAGGATTTGTATTCTTGTTGACCAGGAATTGAAGAGAGCAATACTAGATGAAGGTTATCGGAGTCGTCTGAGTCTACACCCTGGTATGACTAAAATGTATCAAGATCTAAAGAAGATTTATTGGTGGTCTGGTATGAGAAGAGATATTGCAGAGTATGTGGCTGCTTGTTTGACTTGTCAGAAAGCAAAGGTGAAACACCAAAGGCCGGGAGGAATGCTACAACAAATGGAAATACCTGAGTGGAAGTGGGATAACATTACCATGGATTTTGTTACTCATTTACCACGGACAATTCGGGAGAACGATTCGATCTGGGTGATAGTGGACAGATTGACGAAGAGTGCACATTTCCTCCCTGTAAATCTGAAGATATCTATGGCTAAACTGGCACAACTATATATTCGCGAGATTGTTCGATTACATGGGGTACCATCTAGTATTATCTCAGATAGGGATCCTAGATTTACTTCAAGATTCTGGCAAACTTTACAAGAGGCATTAGGTACCCGACTTAGGTTGAGTTCAGCCTATCACCCCCAGACAGATGGACAGTCAGAGAGGACCATCCAGTCACTAGAAGACTTATTGACACTACTACAAATAAAGCCTTCAACGTCGGTTCTGGAAGGCCTTCAACGTCGGTTCCAGAACCGACGTTGTATCAGGCGACGTTGAAAGTTTAGACTTTCAACGTCGGTTAAATAGAACCGATGTTGAAAGTCTGATTTTTCAAATTAAATTTTTTTATTTATTTCCAACCTTTCCAACCCCTCTATTTATCTAGAAATCCCCCTCTCTTTTATATTATATTTTTATTAGGTCCCTCTCTCTTTTATATTATATTTTTATTATTTATCATATTTTTTTTAAGTTTAAAGCATTACCAAATTATTTTTTTGTCACTGACATGATTCGAACCCAGTACCTTAGTGTTGGAGGTCGATACTCCAACCACTAAACTACTCGAATTTTTTGATAGTAAGTTACAAATAAATTATATTTATATACAAATAAATATATATCCGTGTAAATATATAAATACAAATATATTTATATATTTTGATATATTTATATAATTATATATTTATATATTGGATGTGAGGGCACGCTCGAAGGTGAAAGTGTGTGTCGAGTGGGTTTTCAAAATTTAATGCCAAATTTGTGAGCGAGTCTCTATATATGGGTTTGTAATTTAATGACAGAATATAATATTTATAATTTATTTATATAATGATATAAAATAAATTTGAAAAACGCATCATTCGCTCAAGTGACACATTCGCTCAAGCGAAAAATACCAATTTTCGCTCAAGCTAGGCTTGAACGAGTGAATTTCTGTGAGCTTTAACGTATTTTCACTCAAACGAGAGTCAATCTCACTTTCACCCTCGATCGCGCCCTCACATCCAACATAAAAATATATAAATATATTTGTATTTATATATTTACACGGATATATATTTATTTGTATATAAATATAATTTATTTGTAAATTATTATCAAAAAATTATAGTAGTTTAGTGGTTGGAGTATTAATTTTCAACTCTAAAATATTATATTCGAATCCTATCAGTGACAATTCTCTAACTTAAGTGAATTTTTTACTTAAAAAAATAAAAACACTTTCCAGAAAATATATATAAATAAATATATATTTACACAAATATATATTTATTTGTATATAAATATAATTTATCTGTAAGTTATTATCAAAAAATTACAGTAGTTTAGTGGTTGGAGTATTAGCTTTCAATTCTAAAATAATAGGTTCGAATCCTGTCAGTGACAATTCTCTAACTTAAGTGAATTTTTGGCTAAAAAAAATAAAAACACTTTCCAGAAAATATAAATAAATATATATTTATACTGAATATATATTTATTTGTATATAAATATAATTAATTTGTAAGTTATTATCAGAAAATTACAGTAGTTTAGTGGTTGGAGTATCAACTTTCAACTTTAAAGTACTCGGGTTTGAACCTCGCCAGTGACAATTCTCTAACTTAAAAGAATTTTTGGTGAAAACACATTCAACGTCGGTTCCAGATGAACCGACGTTGAATGTCAATTTTCAACGTCGGTTCATCTGGAACCGACGTTGAATGTCAATTTTCAACGTCGGTTCATCTGGAACCGACGTTGAATGTACTTTCTACGTCATTTTTTAATCAACCGACGTTGAAAGTGCATTTAACGTCGGCTCAGCTTTAACCGACGTTAAATGGCGACGTTGAAAGCATATTTTGTAGTAGTGTGAGGTCTTGTGTGTTGGTTAATCTAGGAAGTTGGGATGATATCCTTCCATTAATAGAGTTCACGTATAATAACAGTTATCATGCCAGTATCGGAATGGCACCATATGAGGCTCTTTATGGGAGAAGGTGTCAAACACCTTTATGTTGGTGTCAGGATGAGGAGAAAGTGTTGATCGGACCTGAGCTACTCTAGCAAACTACAGAGAAGGTCCGGGAGGTACAAGAGAAGCTGAGAGCCGCTATGAGTAAACAAAAATCATATGCGGACCAGAGGAGGAGGCCTTTGGAATTTGAGGGGGGAGACCATGTATTTTTGAGAATCAGACCTACTATTGGAGTAGGAAGGGCAATTAAATCTAAGAAGTTGACTCCCAAGTTTATTGGCCCATATCAGATTTTGAAGAAGGTAGGTCCAGTGACATATCAGTTAGTGTTGCCACCTCATTTGGCGAATATGCACAATGTATTTCATGTATCTTAGTTGAGGAAATATGTACATAACCCCAGTCATGTCCTGGAGTCAGACGATGTGTAGATTAGAGACGATCTCTCCGTTGATGTGAGACCAGTGAGGATAGAGGATTCTCAGCTGAAGCAACTTAGAGGTAGAACTATCTCAATGGTGAAGGTAGTATGGGATCAGAAATCCGGAGACTTCACTTGGGAGATGGAGGATCAGCTGCGAGAGTCTTATCCATATCTATTTCCAAGTAAGTTCATTTTCGAGGACAACAATTTTTGTGGAGGGGAGATTGTGACGTATGCCTTATTTTAATATTATATTAATATTATTGTGCAAGAAAACTTCGTAACGAAGTTTTCCTCATGCACAGTAAATTTTTTTCTTATATATGCATACTGAAGCGGGGGAGGAGGAGAATCAAAATTTTCCTCTCATCCTTCTTCTTCTTTTATCTAAATTTCAAGCAACGATACTCTACTCCTGCAGGATCTGGTGAAACAGGAGAGAGTTTGTATTAAGTGGGAAAGCTTCGGTAGAAATACCATACAAGGTAAGAGGAAGTTTAATTCATTCAATATATGAAATTGAATTGTTGGTTACTCTGTGAATACCCTGTGAATAAGGAATATGAGTAGAGATATGAATTATTTGAATATCTGATTTTTGAGAATTTCTGATTTTGGATGCACTGTTCATGGTTTGAAAGTTTTTGAAATTCTTAAAATTAAGGATGAATTATATGGTAAAATTGTTGTTTTCAACTTAAATTAGATATAATTCATGTTTAATTTCGATTTGGGACTAGTTTGGTGTTGTCTAAAATTGAGTAATTTGAAATCTGCAAAAATCTACAAAATTCGACACTGTTACTGGGCGAAGGAAGAAGAAAGGGATATGGTGGGGATTTTTTAAAAAGACCACATTGTGCCCACGAGATGATAGCCTCGAGTTCGGGCATAATTAGGGTATACTTCCGGAAGGTGTCTTAGTGTGTTGATAATTTCGTAATTGATCATAATATATAATTATTACTTTTATATCTATTTTATTATATCGAATGATTTAATACTTACCCCTATTTTTCCATGTGGATGGGACTGCGATGATCACTTTTATGTGGGAGCAGATCAGGAGTTGAGAGATGGAGATGTGACTACTGGACAGCAGGGATAGTTTCGAGGGAGCTACTTTTACATGTATAATATATAAATAAATTATGTTACTATATTTTGAGGTTCCGTTAGTGAATCGAAATTTCAATCTATGTTACAATTACAGTAATATAATGTAAAATAGATGTCGTTATTTACTTGTTTACTACTTTGCGAAGATATCATTATAGTAACGATTTCTAGGGTCGTTACACATGTTACTCATGATTATGTCTAATATTAACTTGTTTTGCATTTTTTTTATGTACTTTAATAAAAATAAAAATTATGCAAACAAAAATAACCCTAAACCCTAAATTTTCAAAACATTTAATTTATCAATGAATAAACTTTACATTTTTAAAAGTAAAATTGAAAAATTAGGATTAATTTTTTATTTACATTGTGAATTTTTTTTACTAATTGTTTTTCTTTTCTTTAAATATTGGGATTATTGTATTTTATATTATCCCTGAAAAAAATGACTTTATGAATTATCCAGTTTCCCACCTAAACCCTTGTTTACAAAACTTTTTATCACTAGTCAACAAAAATTTTCAACGTTTATTATTTTACATATATGTTCATTTTTTTTTAATCTAATTCAACTTTTTGTTTCATAAAATAAAGCCAACGTTTTGAAGATGATTTGAAGTTTTTAGAATATAATTATGCAGTGCAGTAATTCAAAGGCACAATAATTGTTAATATACGATAAAATAACTAGAACTGAAGATCAGGCGACTAACACTTATAAACTAATCACACAAAATTGATGCGTGCTTGAAACTACTAATTCAATAATAAAGATGTTAGAATTCGTCTGGGTAACGTAACTTCGAAGCATGCAAACTAATAAATTTTATCAATGAATTTGTCATTTTCTTATTCATTGACTCCTTATATATAATTTGTAATCAGATAATTTGATATATTTAATTTATATTAAACTGGCCAATTAATGCACATTACGAGATTCAAATAGTTAACTCTGTATCAGAGAGGAGATAGAGTTACCTAAAATGGCCATTCTTACTATTCTCCTTCTCTTTTGCAAGTTATTTTTGTTTTTCTGTAAATTTTCTGTCGCTAAAGATACCATTACCCAGTTTGAGCCACTTGAAGATAACAAGACCTTGGTTTCAAACGATGGAACCTTTGAGTTGGGTTTCTTCACCCCAGCTACCACTTCCTCAAACCGCTATCTAGGAATCTGGTACGCAAACATACCTTTCAGAACTGTGGTTTGGGTTGCAAACCGTGACATTCCTATCACAGACAACTTCACCAAGTTGAGGATAAATACACAGGGCAACCTCGTACTAGTTAACCAGAACAACACCGTTATTTGGTCAACAAACGCAACAACAAAAGGGGTGGTTGTCGCTGCACAAATTTTGGACTCAGGAAACCTGGTTCTAAGAGATGAGAAAGACACCAACCCTGAAAACTACTTGTGGGAGAGCTTTGACTATCCTTCAGACACGTTTCTACCTGGAATGAAAATGGGATGGGACTTCAAGAAAGGCCTTATAGTATAGGTCTAACCGCGTGGAAAAACTGGGATGACCCTTCTCCAGGAGACTTTACAGGCGCTATTCTACTTACCAACAATCCTGAAGAGGTCATGTTTAAGGGCACAACTGAGTACTACAGAAGTGGCCCATGGGATGGCACTAAATTCGTTGGCAACCCCTCTTCCTCCAACTCAGTAATAAACTACACGTTTGTGTCTGACAAGGATGGATACTACATCACATATAGTATAAATGATAAGTCAATGATTTCAAGGCTTGTGTTGAATCAAACGCTTTATCTTCGTCGTCAGCGCTTGACATGGAATAATGATAGTCAAACGTGGAGGGTGTCCTCACAGTTGCCAAGTGATTTATGCGACGTCTATAATACTTGTGGCGCGTTTGGGATTTGTGTCGTTAGTGAGTCACCGGTGTGCAAGTGTTTAGATGGATTCAAGCCAAAAGCACCCCAAAATTGGACCCAGACAAACTTTCACGAAGGGTGTGTGCACAACCATAGTTGGAGCTGCGGGGAAAACAAGGACGGTTTTCAGAAGTTCAGTAACGTGAAGGCACCAGAAACTACAAGGTCATGGGTGAATGCAAGTATGACACTTGAGGAATGCAATAAGAAATGCAGGGAAAATTGTTCCTGTACAGCTTATGCAAATACAGACATGAGAGGAGAAGGTAGTGGATGCGCCATTTGGTTTGGTGATCTTTTAGATGTAAGACTCATTCCGAGTGGTGGACAAGATCTGTATATCAGATTGGCCGTGTCCCAAATAGGTATGAGCTTCCATTTTCATTTGTCTGGTTTGAGTAATTTTATTTTACATATAGTAACTTGTAGGAATTTTTTTTTAATTAAAATTAATTTATATTTCATTCTTTAAATATATTGTATGAGAGATTTTAAAAAAGAAAATAAAAATTAAGTGCATAATTAAGTTGATTTTAGTTTGAGAGATAAACTAAAACTAAAACTAATTTGACCCATTTTATCACATTTATGCTGAAGGTAAAATATAAGTATAAGTATACTAAATACCCAATTTACTTCCTATATTTATTATTATTTATTTTTTATGTTTTTTATTTTTCACCTCAAGATGGAAAAGATAACTCAAAGAAAAAGATGGTTTTGCTCGCAAGCACCGTTTCCTCAGTTATTCCGATGCTAATACTCCTCATATTCATTTATTGGGGTAGCAAGAAAAAAATCAAAGGTAAGACTTCGCCTCACTTGTCTTTTCATGGTTTATGGAACAACAAGTGCATATCTGGGTTAACAACCTAATTACTAACAACACCGTTGTTGTGTCCATTCAATTTAAAATCGAAGGAAAGTGGGAGATGATACTCTTCGTATATGTTTTTATGTTTAAAATATTACAATTTTTCCTACCCCAAATTATTGACATATTTTAAAATAAAAGGCTTTCAGTTAAGTATATATAAAATACAACCCAAAAGGGAGTTTATTATCACGGGTTGGAATATAATTTTGCTCATTGACTTGTTTGGGTATAAAAAAGAGATCATCAGTAGAATCAAAGGAAAAAACAACGAAAATCAACAAGAAGAATTTGAACTACCCTTGTTTGAATTTGCCTCAATAACACATGCCACAAATCACTTCTCAAATTACAATAAGCTCGGGGAAGGTGGCTTTGGACCAGTATACAAGGTAAGTGAGCATTGTTTCCATTAATAATTAATTAGAAATGACAAATCTCAAAAATTATTATTCATTATTTAATTTTCTTTTTCGCCAATGTCGTGTGTTCAGGGGACACTACCAGATGGGCAAGAGTTAGCTGTTAAGAGGCTTTCACAAACATCTGGACAAGGATTAAAAGAATTTAAGAATGAAGTTATGTTATGTGCCAAACTCCAACATCGAAATCTCGTTAAAGTTCTTGGATTTTGCATTCGAGAAGATGAGAAATTGCTTATATATGAATACATGGCCAACAAAAGCTTAGACTTTTTTCTTTTTGGTTAGTGTCTCTCTAAATCTATCTTTTACCTTGATAATAGTTCTTAATTACCAGATTAAAAGAAGATAACCAGAAAATTTGACAGATTCTAATAGAAGTAAGCTTCTTGATTGGCCTAAGCGTTTCTGCGTTATAAATGGAATTGCTCGGGGACTACTTTATCTTCATCAAGACTCACGACTAAGGATCATACACAGGGATCTCAAGGCAAGTAATGTTTTATTAGATAATGAAATGAATCCAAAAATTTCAGACTTTGGCTTGGCTCGAATGTGTGGAGGTGATCAAATTGAAGGAAAAACGAGTAGAGTAGTTGGTACATAGTAAGTATTTTTATTTATGCCATGATCTTTATTACACAGTGATCACTCATCAAATTAACTCTTTTGTAATTTCTTGTAGTGGTTATATGGCACCTGAGTATGCTTTTGGTGGAATATTTTCCATCAAATCTGATGTGTTTAGCTTCGGCGTGTTACTGCTAGAGATAGTGAGTGGCAAGAAAAATAGTAGACTTTTCTATCCAAATGACAACAATAATCTTATTGGGAATGTGAGTGACATAACTTCATTTTGTTTTCATGTATATGATGAAGCAATAGATAACCATTATTTCGAAATATTTTAGGCATGGAAGTTATGGAAAGAGGGAAATCCAACACAATTTATGGACGCTAATGTGGAGAACTCATTGATTCTATATGAGGCCTTGCGTTGCATTCATATTGGTCTTTTATGTGTGCAACATCATCCTAATGATAGACCAAACATGGCATCAGTTGTGGTATTGTTGAGCAACGAGAATGCATTGCCTCCACCAAAAGATCCTACCTACTTGATCAAAGACATGTCGACTGAAAGAGAATCATTTTCTGAGAACTTCACGTCATTTTCTGTTAATGAAGTCACTATCTCAATGTTGAGTGATAGATAGACAAAATTACTTTACTTCTTACCAAATATTCACTTATTTATTTTGTATATGTCGTAATTATTTTTGTAGCTGCGTTTTTAAATGTTAATATATTTATGTCTACAGTTTGGGTTTTAAAGTTGAAGCCAAACCTCCCAACACGGTACACAAAGAGAGAACACTTGGTTTTAATGGGGTGGCAAAAGAATGAGGCAACCACAATGAGTTCTCTAACATTGTTTGTTTTTTTCAAGTGGGTTATGCTCTGTGTATTCCGAGTTTTTTTTATCCTTTTTCATTGTATCTTATTCTATACTGTTATTCTTGAAGTTTTAAACCTTTTGTTGAAATTGGTAGTATCTTGAAATTATTAGAAAATATTGAGCTAACCATACATCAAACTGGTATCTACCTAAAAGGTTACATGTCAATCATTTTACTGTCTAATGGTAATGTATATTTGATTAATGAGACTAAAAATAATGGTAAATAATTGCCAAATTGAATTAGATAAAAAATATTATTTATAAATTAAAAATGCATTTTGTTAAAATACAAGAAACTAAGATTCATTAGTTAATTTCTTTTCACATTAGAGTTTAAAAATTAAACTCTTTAAATTACAGTGTATTTCATTTTTCAACATCAATCCTTATTGTGAAAGACTGATGACTTAGTCAATCTCATTAACAAAAGTTTTCTGCTAAGGTTGATTTTTTCTACTCTAGTCTTTACTGTTAATATTATTTTAGCTCTAAGTCAAAATTCTAAACAGAATTTGAAAAAAGCACTAAAATATAAGATACAATGAAAAACTATCTTCAACCATTAATATACAATAAATTAACAAAAACTATTGACCTAAAGTTGATGCTTGCTTGGAACTACCAATTCAACAATCAAGACATATGAATTAATAAGGTAACGTGACTTTGAAGTAAGCATTGTACCTTAAAACGTATTATAATTCAAACCAATTAAGAATCATTCAAGATACCAAGAATGATACATGCACACAATACTTTAACGTACATATATGTATTCAACACTTTTCTTGTCTCCCTCTAATTAGCCTATCTATCTATGTCACTGCTATGCTTCTCTCTTTAAGTCTTTTCCTCTCATGAAATAGACTAGTTACGTAAATTATTTTTAACCAGACAAAATTAATTATATATATATATATATATATATATATATATATATATATATATAGTAAACCATGGAGAGAGAGAGAGAGAGGTAAGTCCTTTTCCAATTTTGATGTATTTAAAACTTCTAACCCTTATTGATTCCTTCTACATTGAACAGGAAGAAGCATGCAACCAGTACCTTCTGCTAAACTTCAATGCTTGCATTTTAACGCTGAATTCATGAAGAGAAATTAACGTACAATGGTCATTCTTTCTATTCTCCTTCTCTTTTGCAAGTTATTTTTGTTGGTAACAAGAAAACAAAAAACACTCCCAATTTTTCTCCTGATGCAATTTCAAATGAGTTGTTACAATTATTTATGGCCAAAATATTTGTCTCTTCAAATGCGAAACGTAAATCATAATACCTATTAAATAGGTTTACAACTCATTGATTATATTACTCGTAATTAAAACCATTAATATTATTCTAGGAATACTAAACGTCTAATTTAAGTTTTACAATAAATCTCCCCCTTAAACTTAAATACTCTTCCCATCTCTTATTTCAATAAGCCTTTTACAACTTTCCAACAGTGTAGTTGGCAGTGGTTTGGTGAATATGTCAGCAGCTTGAGCTCGACTTTCAACATGCTCCAGCTCAACCTTTCCTTCTTTGACTTGTTCTCGGATGAAATGAAATCAGACGTCAATGTGCTTGCTCCTTCCATGATTAACCGGGTTCTTTGCCAACTCGATCGTTGACTTGTTGTCAACTCGAATTACAGTTCTTTCGTCTTGGATCACTCCCAGATGCCTTAGTAAATTTGAAAGTCAAACTATATGACACACACTCCAAGAGGCCACCACATACTCAGCCTCATAGGTTGACAGAGTTACAATGGGTTGCTTCTTTGACAACCAAGTAAAAACTGTTTTTCTGAGTATGAACACATAACCTGAAGTACTTTTCCAGTCATTAACATCACCACACCAATCACTATCCGAGTAACCCACTAGTCGGTAGTCATCCGATTTTGAATAAAAAAGACCAAGTGATAAGGTTCCTCGAACATATCTCAAAATTCTCTTTAAGGCCTTCCAATGTGTGTAACTTGGATTCTCTATGTATCTGCTCGTTATCCCAACACTCAGCATTATGTTGGGTCTTGTGCTTGTAAGGTGCCTCAGACTTCCGATTAAGCTTCGATATCTCCCAAAATCAGCTCGTTCTTCTCCATCAAACTTTGAGAGTTTAGTGCCCGGTTCCATTGGAGTAGAAACTGGGTTACAATCCTCCATTTTAAATTTCTTTAAAATTTCAAATGCATACCTCTCTTGGGATATAAAAATTCCTTCCTCTGACTGCTTCACTTCTAGGCCAAGAAAATATTTCATCAGCCCTAAGTCTGTCATTTCGAACTCTTTCTTCATTACCTCCTTGAACTCCTTAATTAGCTTCCTATTGCTTCCAGTGAATATGAGATCGTCAACATAAAGAGCGACTACCATCATATATTTTTCTGATTTCTTTGTGTACAAAGCATGCTCATATGGACATTGTTCATACCCATTTTTCTTGAAATACCCATCAATTCTCTCATTCCAGGCACGAGGAGCCTGCTTCAGCCCATAGAGAGCTTTTCTTAATCTCAGTACCTTTTTCTCATCCCCTCTCTTCATGTACCCGAGTGGTTGCTCAACATACACCTCTTCCTTCAGCACTCCATTTAAAAATGCCGACTTCACATCCATCTGTAGAATCAACCATTGATTCTGAGTAGCTAATGAGATCAGAAGTCGGATTGACTCCATTCTCGTGACAGGAGCAAATACTTCATCATAGTCAATTCCCTCCTTTTGTCTATAGCCTTTCACCACAAGTTAAGCCTTGTAACGTTGAACCTCTCCCTCAACATTCATCTTCTTTTTGTACACCCATTTTACTCCAATGGGTTGAGCTCCTTTAGGAAGGTCAGTCAGTTCCCAAGTTTTGTTGCGTTCAATCGCTCCAGTCTCTTCATCCATAGTTGTTCTCCACTTCTCATCTTGGACAACTTGTTGAACATTCAAGGACTTGATGTTGCACTTGATGGACATGAAGATTGTTGATTTTGATGATGATTCAAGAACTCAAAGACTTAGAGTGTTGAAGACTTGTTTTGTATTGTAATAACTCTGTTTCAATTAGATTGAGTCTGTAATATTAGTGTTTAAGATAGCCGGTACATAGTCTGCACCTTAGAAGCTTCAAAAAGCTCAAATTTATCATCCAGGCTCGGCTTTAATCGATTAAATAGGGAAATAATCGATTAAAACAGTGAGAAAAACCATTTTTTGTATCTGATCACTGGTTTAATCGATTAAACCACCTGTTAATCGATTAACAGGCCTGTTAATTGATTAAAACCGAGAGTTTTAGGATTCTGTTGATTTTGGCTCTGTAATAATCGATTAACACTTCATTTAATCGATTATTTCAGTCAGATTTTGATTTTTAACTTCAAATCAACCCTATTTTCGAAAACCCTTTTCCCAAGAACCCTAATTCCAAAATTCCCAATTCCCAAACCCTAATTTCTCTACTTAAGCTTCTCTTTGGCACTCAGAAAATAAGAACAACATTTTTCATACAAAAGTTAAGTGCTGTAGTGCCAGAGAACTGTTTGTTGCAAGAAAAAGGGGCTTTTGGAACTTGGTGTGGGCTAGAAGCGATAAGAATCACTAAGTGGAGTTCTTAGTGGATTGTGTGTTGTGCCGTCTCTAGGGAAAGCTGTTCATCATCTCTTGTGGATTTCAAGAGAGGTGTTTTCTTATCTTTATCTTTTCAATTGTAATTTGCTTGTAACAACTTGATTATAGTGACAGCGTTAATCCTCTATTTGAGTGATTAGCAACTGGACGTAGGGTCTTTTGATCTGAACCAGTATAAATCTCCTGTGTAAGATTCTATCTCTTC